ACTTCATTCTTTTTGTAAAAATGCGTTTGGCTACTGCAGATCCTTTGCTTTTCTATAAAAATGTTAAAATCAGCTCTTCAATTTCTGAGGAAAAAAAGTGTACTGGCATTTTGATAGGGATTGCTTTAAATCTGTAGATCAATTCAGAGAGAATTGCCTTCTTAACAATATTCTTTCAATACATGAACATGCTCTATCTCTACTTCTTTAGGTCATCTTTAATCTCTCTCAGCCATGTTGTACAGGTCTAACACATCTTTTGTTAAATTTATTCCTAATTTTGTTGTCATTGTTAATGACTTTTTATTATTGGTAGTACATAAAACACAACTGATTTTTGTCCTTATGTATTGTTTTTGTATCCTTGCCTAAAGATACTTGCTGAGTTATTCATTCTAGTTGCTTTTTTTTTTTTTTTTAATTCTAAGCTGTATGACTTTTCCTTTTCTTGCCTTATTGCCTTGGCTAGTACCATTCCACATAGAAGTGATGAAAGCAGACATCCTTGTCTAGCTCCTGACCATAGGGGTAAAGTTTTCAGTCGTTCACTATTAAGTATGACATAAGCTGTTTTCCATAAATGTTCTGTATCAGATTGGGCAAATTTCCTTCTCTAATTTGCTGTTTTTATCATAAAAGAATATTGGATTTTGTCAAAAAATTTTTATGCCTATTGAGATCACATGATTTTTCTCCTTTGTTCTGCTAATATGGTATATACTATGTGATTTTCAGATGTTATACCAACCTGTCATTCCTGGGATAAAACCTACTTGGTCAGTTCCTTTTAATATGTTGGTGAGTTATTATTTTCTTTTTTAAATGCCAGCTCATTTGATGTTAATTTATTTGATAACTCCTTTCTCCATAGTGTCAGATACTCCATGACTGACATCTCCCTCTACAGTCCTCTGCTCTACCAACTGAGCTATGGAAGGGCGCTAGATATCGCACGACTAATTACTACAATTTCAAAACAGTGGTCTGAATTCATATTCCCTTTGTGACCTTTGCACTCCTTTGTACCGATTTTTATTTTGTGTCTACTATGTGTCAGGCATTGTTAGACGTTGAGGATACAGAAATAGAAGGTAGATTCAAGCCTTTGCCCTCAACAGCAGTGGTGAAGACAGTCAAAACAAGTAACTGTAAGATAGTTTGATGAGTGTTAGACAATATTGGGTACAACTGAGATTTAAATAAAAGAAACCCAAGGTAGAAATTTTTAAGCCACCAAAAGGAAATTACTTGACATGTAAATTGAATTTAACCAGGATTACCATAGCATTTATATCCAAACAGGTACATTTTTAAAAGTCAAAGGGAGAACAAGTATAAGCTAGGATGTATGGTTATCTTAGATCTAACCAAAGGGGAAGAGTGTTTGAGGCCGAAAAAATGGTATGTGAGAGGACAAGGCTGATTAAAATAACTAAAAATCTCAATTTAGTGAGTTTATAAGCTGTAAGGAAGAAAATTAAGGTAGAAAAGTGAGAGATTAGATTCTAAAGGACTTATAAATCAGAGAGGAATCTGCACTCCATTCCAAAGACAGTAAAATTTCAAAGCAAAGGCATGACATAATTGTTGGAAAAAGATAAGCTGATTGTGGTGTGGAAAAAGTGTGAGCAAAGAAGGGTATCAGCAGCGATCTTTTGGTGGGGGAAATGGAGAGTATATATGGGTTTTTGGAGTCATGAAATGTTCTATAATTGTGCTGTTTGGTATTTGAATTACAGCTCAATAAAGCTGTTCTGTTTTTTAAAAAGGAGATTCAGGAAATGAAGTTCTCAAGATGAGATGATAGGGACTGTAGACTGATGTGTTAGAAAGGAGAAGGAGTTCAAGAGATATTTGAGAGAAACTAGAAGGCCCTGGGACTCACAGGATATGGAGGTAAGGGAGAGAGGAAAGTCAAATTAACTTCCAAGATTCTGGCTTAAACAGCGGGATGATGGTGCTGTTTACTCAAAGAACCTGAACCAGGTGCATGTGTGAGGTGGGCGCGGGGAGATCTTTAGACATGTTGGATGTGAGATAACTGATGCTCAAGCTGGAAATCGGTTTTGGACTGTTTGCATTCTTCCAAAATTCATTTGCTGAAACCCTAATCTCAATGGGATGGTGTTGGGAAGTGATTAGGTTATGATTGTGGAGGCTTCATGACTCTCACTAGTACCCTTTTAAGAGGCCAAGGGCTTGCTCCATCTTTTTTTTTTGCCACGTGAGGATACAAGACGTCAGCAGTCTATACAGCCCAGAAAAGGGTCCTTATCAGAATCTGACCATGCTGGTACTCTGATCTGACTTCCAGCCTCCAGAGCTGTGAGAAACAAATTTCTAAGCCACCTGGTCTATGGCACTTGGTTATAGCAGCCCAGGCTAAGACAATATTCAAGTCTGGCTCTCAGGTGAAGGTCTAGGCTGAAAGGAATCAGAAGTCATGGAAGTAAACAGTATTGTTTATGGCATGTGTGAATATACAAGATAAAGATTTAAAAGAGGTGAAATCAGCATCTGAGGAAAGGCCCCAGAGGTAGCGAGAAAACCAGGGGGAGTATGTCACAAGTCCAGTTTAGAGTCTTTCAAATAAAGTGATCAACAGTGTAAAGTGCTATTATGTGTCAAACAAAGGAGACTCTGTGCTTTAAAAAAGGGGCGGGGGGGGGGGAGGGAGGCACCTAGGTGGCTCAGGTGATTAAGTATCCAACTCTTGATTTCAGCTCAGGTCATGATCTCACAGTTCATGAGTTCGAGTCCATATGGGGCTCTGCGCTGACAGTGTGGAGTCTGCTTGGGATACTCTTTCCCTCTCCTTCTGCCCTTCTCCTGCTCACTTGCATGCTCTCTCAAAATAAGCTAAAAACAACAACAAAAATCAAGAACAAAGTTCAAGATTAACTGGAGTGAAGGTGGCGGAAACCAGGCTCATACAGGTTCAGTGGTAAATGACGAGATGTGGTTTGTCAAAAGACAATTCCAACAAGGAATTAGGTTTTGAAGGGGAAAAGAAGAAAGGGGTTGAGGAAGAAAAGATTGTTTAAAAAAAAAAAAGTTTGGCCATGTTTAAGGAAAGGAAAGGAGCCAATTAAAGAAGTTGAAGATAGTGAAAGAATGAGAAGGCAGCTTCAGAATCAGAGAGGAGTGCTTCAAGTTTAAGGTTTGGGTAGAGGTCTGGGAATCTGTATTTAAGTTCCTGACAAGAGTCTGGTGCACAAGCAAGTTTGGGAGCCAGAGTAATCATAGAGCAGACTTTGCAAGAAGCTTGGAAAGGATGGTATCTTTAATACAGATTCTTGACTCTTTTATTTTCTCTCCGAATAGAAGAGGAAGAACTTGTAGTGGAGGAAGGTACAGACAGATTTGATGATGCAGTTCAGATATTTTCCATCACTTTTCCTGTGAAATAGAAGTAATCTGCTAATGGAGTTGGGGAAGTGAAGATTTCCTAAGACTGAAGGTTTCAAATTGCTTTGAATACTGAAGGATAGCTTGCTACTGTTGAGGATCTACTTGTGGATGGTGACCGCAGATTATAGTGGCACCAATCTGTGCCATCATGTGGTTTCCTGTGGCAGTGCTCAGCAACCCAACAGTAATCAAAAGCAGAGAGAGCTGAACTCCTCTAAGATTCAGGTTTTGCCACACAATGATAAAATAATGAAAGGAGAACTAAGGAGTTTGGGATATTGCCAAGAGAGTGGCTCAACCATTAAGATGACAGATACAAAGCTGGACAGAGAGCTGAGTGAAGAAAAGAGGTGACTGCTAGTGGAACTCCTAATGAGAATAATTTCAAACTCAAGGCCTTTTACATATATCAGCTTTTGTTCAACATTTTTATCACCAGCTATGCTACACTGGAGGGGAATGCAGCTGTATATGAGAATCCCTACCCTCAAAAACATCATTTTGTAGAAGAGCGCCAGTGAGAACACTCAACAGAATGATTGGTACAGTTAACAGATCACGGTACAAGGTACTAAGGATGTGTGAGAAGGGACTTTCTTCAGCACAGGGTAAGAGGTGGTTAGCAGGTAAGCGTTCGTTTAAAAACTACCCCCAAGTAAAATAAGGTAAAAACAAGGAGGCAAACCCTAAGAGACTATTGAATGCGGAGAACAAACAGGTTTGCTATAGGGGTGTTGGGTGGGGGGATGGGCTAAAATGGGTGATGGCCATTAAGGAGGGCACTTGGGCTGAACACTGGGTGTCGTAAGTAAGTGATGGATCACTAAATTCTACTCCTGAAACCAATACTACACTACATGTTAACTAACTTGAAAAAAAAAATATACATATACACACACACAAAACAAAACCCTTTCCCAAGTAGATCTTAAATACAGAAAGCTACAGGCAAAATAGAGACAAAGACGATTGTGAGTAGAAAAAGTAGCATAGGTGAAGGCAGGAAATTATAGCGAAAGCCTGATTAGAAGTTAAAGCTTATACGAAAACAATGTAAGATAAGACTGTAAAAGTAATTTTAAGTCACAGAGAGCCTTAAAAGTGCTCAAGAATTTGGGACTTTATTCAGTAGGCAGTGAAAGGCAGTTAAAGCTGGTAACCATGATTGACACTGTGCTGTAGGAAGACTGGCAATCCAGAGGGAAATCCTTATTTAATAAGGCCTAAACCAAGGGTTCTTTCTCAATGCGGCTGCACGAAAGAATCACCTGTAGTGCTTTGAAAGACACGGCTGCTTGGGTCTACCCACCAGAAATTGTGGTTCGTTTTGTTTTGGGGGAGGCTCAGGAATTTAAAAATACTCCTGATGGTCCTAATCTGGGACTAGGGTTAAAGGCACGGTCTCTGTGTCTCTAAAGTTGATGATGATACAGTAAGGCTCAAATCAGACAATAATATAGGAAAGCCAATGTATAGAAATATATATACACGTATGTATGTCAAAATTCTGGGGGGGAAAAAAACCCCACCTGTAACAAGCTAAACTGACCCAGTAAAATTAAAAGCACACCATTGCCATCACAAAAGAAAAACAGATATTGAATATATACAATTTATTTAATAAATTAATGTCATTCAAAATACAGTGCCAGAACATGATGCAGTTGAACATGCTAGTGATGTCGTCATGAAGCACCTGTGCTCATGTTGGATTGGCGGCGCCCCCGCTACTGCTAGTGGTTCCTGGGATTAATGCCAGAGCAGCACTAGTTACCTGCTCTTCCGCACGGCTAGTGCAGAGAATTCCTGAACAGTTCACCTTTCTAATCCTAACCCCCTCCCCACACACACACACACACACACACACACACACACACAACAGGTTAAAAAAAACACACCCTGACAGCTAATGGATGTCTATACACAATCACTCTACAGTAATGCTTGTTATTAAATTAGGATGTAATGACCTGGTTAACCCACTCTAAATTTTTAAGATGGAGAAATACAACAGCAGCAGGTAGTTATATGCATGAGCCAATGTTAATGTAATACAGAGAGTGGAGGCATTTACTGATTAAAGCTCCACACAGACCCGCACAACGAGGGACTAGCAATTCTCATTGCAAGCCCAGCAACTTAAGTCCACACCTGGTAAATGACCAGCTGATCGGAAGACCTGTATTCTAGATAGACAAGTATAAGTTAGTGAAAAGAGAGTACATGCACCTAATAGTATAGTTAGACTGATCCTGCAGTCATAGCTCTCCCTGTGCAATACCATAATATGGAAGATCTTCCTCAACTATAGTATAGGCTTTAGACAACACTTCTATACCAACATGGACACTAGTGTTAAGTGCAGCTGAATTAATTACACTGAAAAAAAAAACTGTATTCCAGGACTTCAGAACAGAAGCACGGGAATGAAATACATATACTAAAATAACCTCAGCACAATTTGCGATATACCACACTAGGAACAGGAAACTACTTTAATAAGTGAACTTCTTGAACTGTACATAACACAGGGCTAACAATGTTAGATAATCCAGATTCTTATGCTCTCATGATACATGTAAAAGTTTCTCAATTATTGGATAATCTATTTCATATTATGGAAGCATATCTTTCTGTAAGACTCACTGATATATATTATACTGATGCAAATATTAAGTAGGGCATAAAAATAAAATTTATCAAAGATAGATTTTTATGTACTCATATTTAGTCCTTTCATAGCCTCTCTTGTTTAGCAAAGAAAACGACAAAGCACATCAATCAGGCGTGCACTCCCTAAACTCCCCAACTATACAGGTGGTAGTGCAACCATTTCTCCATCCAGTTCAAACTCCTCTGTCCCATCCGGTGAAAAAAGGTAAGTTGGTGGTTTCCATGGAGATTCTTCAAGGCAGGATGGATAAAGTTTCCCCACAGTGCACCGGAAATCTCTCCCCAGGTCCCACAGTACACGTTCAGATATATGCTGCCGCAGAGACCACCGGTCAAGTTCCAGATCATACTGGTAGGTGACATATTTAGCTCTCTCATTTAAGTGGGTTTCTCGCATAAACACACACAGAGAATTTGAGATCACAACTGCTCTAACGCAGGGGTCTGAGTACCTCTTAGCAGGGATGTTGGCTGCCATTTTCCACTCATTTTTATTCACATCGTAAATTTCCACAGTTACTGAAGACCCATCTACAGTGCCAGAGGGGAGTCTTATGCCAGAATTGGTAGCAATGTGCAACCCTCCAATATAGAAAATTTTATCACCAAAAGCTGCAGCTGAAGCAAAAGACCTGGTAGTCTGTCTCATGGCCATTTCTACCCACGAATCAGACCTTGGAAAATAACAGTACATGAGGTTCAGTGTCATCACATAAATGCAGTCATGGACCACAACCGCTGCGCTCCACTGCCACGCACAAGGCAAAGGGCTTACCATTGTCCACTCATCCTTCTCAGTATCGTATCGTTCCACGGTCCTCCGATTAAGTTCTCCACCTACACTGTCTCCTCCAATTGCATAGATATAGCCTTCACAGCAAACCAAAGATGGCTTTATGCGGACAAAAAGCATCGGGGTCTTTGGAAACCAGGTATTTTGCTGTGCATCAAACCAATAAAAGCAATTCACAGTTCTGAAGGCAGTCTGAAGTTTGCTTGTTTTACTGTGATTTGTTTTTGTGTTTTTCAGAGGAACTTGACCACCTGCTATATAGATGTCATTATCAGGAGTTACAACAGTCCCAACCTTCTGCAAATCAGCCGGTGGGCTGCACAGCTTGTAAACTTTTTCTGCTTGGGGGCTGTAACAGACAGAAGAGTAAAGACTACAAGGATTTTCTGAAGACGCCTCAATGAAAATCATCATCTCCTCTTTAGTCATTCCAAGTCTTGGTTTGAAAAACTTGGGCATCGACTTATACAGACCTTGAACTACTACAGACTTGTCATTGGGTGGGAGGCCTTGAAACCAAGCTCTCTGCGTTACTTCTGAAAGTGCATCAATTCTGATTTGGCTAAGAACTGAAGACAAATACTGGGATCGTGATTCTGTGTTGTACTCTAGCCACAGCATAGCAGCTTCGCGAACTGTCTCCTCCTTTTCAACATTTAAATTGTCACTACTGAGGATGTCTATCAGTAGGTCATGTGACAGCTGCATGAATGCTTCCTGGTGATACACAGCAGTGAACTTGTGCTCTACCATTCTTTTAGCACTTTGTTTTAATTCCTCACAACTGAACAGATCAGCAAAACTCAACAATCGCACACAATTCTCTGCATTGATTTTTTTAATTAAGTATTCTCGACAACGCTGTAATACATCTTCTACCTAAGATGGGAGGGGAAAAAAAGGTTACTAAAGACAAGATAGACAAATTTTGCTTTTATGTAAAACACAAGTATATTAATCAGATCCCCAGAATTTGTTTTTAGAGGTATACATTTGGCCTAAGAGATAATGCTTTCCAATAATAATAAAACTATTAAGACTATAAATAATAAAACTATTGCATTTCTCTTGTCCAGTGGCCTACTTAAGTGCCCTATTTAAGAGATAATAGTGTAAGCTTAAAAAAAATATGATTGAGAAAACCAAAGGGAAACAATGTAAATAAATCATAGTACATAAATGATTATCATTTGTCCTCAAAAATTCATCATAAGTGATTGTTGAGGAACTGGAATCTGGTTTTCTCAACATGGACAAGATAGTCATTTATAAAACAAGAAAATCATGCACAATGACTAAAGTACTTATTTGCCTTTCTATCTAGAGAGGTAACATGACCAAAGGAACAATAAACACACTTATGTGCCATTATAAATTACCTACATTTAAATGACCCAGCTTAGCCATTCTGCTTCCCAGATTTTTTTTCGTAAGGAGGAGAAGTAGATCTTGGCTGACTCAGAACTGCTACCTACTATATTTATTCAACTTCATAACAAGCTAACTAGATGCAACTTAAGACTGAGAAGTCAGGTTGCTGACACTGGATGGTCAGTACTGGTACAGTATTAGGAGCTTTACTTCTCCAAGCTTCAGCTTTCTCTTGTATACAATCGGGAAATCCTTACCAATGGTTACAGTAAGGATTAGATATATCTATACATCATCTATATACATAAAGCAGGATATAGAATATATCTAAAACATTGTACATATCATAGATAAAGCATTAGAACAGTATGTGGCATATAAAAACATTACTATTCCCTGTGTCTAATCATGAAGATCATGTTGGTATTAAAAATGCCCCATCCCACGCCTGTCAAGGCAACCCAGTAAAAGAGCCAAGAGTCCTATTCTGCATTTCGTGAGCATATACATGAGTTTACTAACATGGTAGGGAAAAAGGAACAGTGTTCTTACTTACAGTAATAAAGTATTCTGAAATCCAAAATTTTTAAACATTTTTTTAGCAATTATATAAAATACCTACTTTTAGTTCCTGGCTTTAAAAAAGGTATTGAAGGGGCACCTGGGTGGCTCAGACGGTTAAGCGAACGACTTTGGCTCAGGTCATGATCTCACAGTTCGTGGGTTCAATCCCCATGTTGGGCTCTGTGCTGACAGCTAGCTCAGGGCCTGGAGCCTGCTTCAGATTCTGTATCTCCCTCTCTCTCTGACCCTCCCCTGCTCACGCTGTCTCTCTCTCAGAAATAAATAAAACAAAAAAATTAAAAAATAAAAAAGGTATTGAAAACTTACAAACTACTAAAAGACAGTGCGCATACTGTAGCATTTCCCCATTTCAAGTTTGCATAAGGTTATGAATGCTCTTGATTCTAAAGCACCAGGGGATGCCTGGGTGGCTTAGTCGGTTGAATGTCCGACTTTGGCTCAGGTCATGGTGTCAGGGTTCAAGCCCCACATTAGGCTTCACGCTGTTGGTGCGGAGCCTGCTTGGGATTCTTGTTCTCTCCTCTCTCTATGATGCCTGCTCACACTTTCTTCTGTTCTCAAAAGAAATAAACAAAACAAAACAAAAAAGCACCAGGAAGCTACTATGGTAGTAGTTTCCCCAGAGATGTAGGTACAGTGGGACACTGCACAATTTTCTAGGGAAAAAAAAAAGTTCAGAATAAAAGGAAGAAAGATACGTAAGACATGGACTTTACTGTGGTTCCCAGAACTTCACCTGTGTTGATGTTCAGTGTCATTCATACTCAATTCAGCACACACTTAGCAAGTATCTACTTTTCTAGGACCTTAGAAAAAATAAAAGGCACTTAAATTTAATAAATGCTTTTAAAAATTACTTCTACCTGAAATCTAAATTCTCAGGTGTATTAGCCAGAATATGAAACCAGTGTGAAATTTTCACCCACCTTTTTAATTAAGCTCCTATCATAGAACTAAAGAAGTTTACTGGCTAATCAAATCCTATTCTTCCCCTTATACATTTTTTTAAAGTTTTACTTATTTAAGTAATCTCTACACCCAACACAGGGCTCAAACCCAGAATCCCAGGATCAAGAGCTCCCTGCACTTCCTACTGAACCAGACATGCACTGCTCCTTTATATGCTTTAAAAGAGAAAACTTACCTCCTAAAATCTGCATAAGAAAATTATACCAATGTTAAGACAAAACAATGTTTTCTCAGAAAATAAACCACAGTTTATGTATACAATAGAGGAAAAACCACTTACCTGCAGGAAGCAAGCTGTTTCATAAAGCTGTTCGACAGTGCTGTCATTTATTGCCAAGTTACCCGTGTATGCATAAGCTATTATTATCTGTAAGGTGGCTGCATCCACATTCCGCAGGTGCACATGTGTCTGTTTGCTTTCACTGAGTCCACTCATGAACATGGCCCTACAGCAGAAAGAGAAACAAAGCTGATGAGTTAAGTGTAAAACCTGTGTAGACCTAAGAAGGAAAACTAAACAACATGGGATATTTATTTAGGATATTTGCCTATGGGCACATTATAGGGAAAGCTTTTGAGGGACACAAGAGAAAAACATAATTCAGTATCAAAGACATAACTACTCCACCATGCTGAGTGAAAACATCAAATTCACTTACTCTTTATATTAACACAATGGAATACTACTCAGCAATAAAAAGGAACTAAATATTGATATGTATTACAACAGATGAATCTCAAATACATGCTCACTGAAAGAAGCCAGATACAAAAGACCACATATTCTATGATTCCATTTATATGAAATATCCCCCCAAAATAAACAGAGACAAAAGGGAATTAGTTACCTAGAGCTGTATCTAAGAATGGTGAGTCACTATAAAAGAGCACAAGGTTGAGTGTAATGTTTCAAATTAGATTGTAGAAATGGTTGTGCATCTCTGTAAATATACTAAAATGCATTTATTTTTTTAATGGCTTTTTAAAATATTTATTTCTGAGAGAGAGAGAGAGAGAGAGAGAGAGAGAGACAGCATGAACAGGGGAGGGTCAGAGAGGGAGGGAGACACAGAATCTGAAGACAGGCTCCAGGTTCTGAGCTAGCTGTGAGCACAGAGCCCAACGTGGGGCTCGAACCCACAAACCAAGATATCATGACCTGAGCCAAAGTCAGACACTTAACCGTCTGAGCCACCCAGGTGCCCCTAAAATGCATTTAATTATACATTTAAAATGGGCAGATTTTATGGTATGTAAATTATCTCAATAAAGCTGTTAAAAATGTGATTTATTCAAATCGATTTCCTAAAACTATATGGGACAATTTCCTAAAAACCTATTATATACATACAGGAAACAATGCCAAAAAGGCAATTAGTGTTGTAGAGAATAAAGAACATAACACCCATACATAGATGAGAGATGAGAAAACAATGCAAAGAATATTACTGCACGCATACAAGAGAAAAGTCTATAGTGATCAAAAGTGGATAGGACAACAGTACTAGCTTGGGCCCCTAAAGGACAAGATGAGGAAGGCCTTCAATATGGATACAATAGTGAGGGCAGAACATAACTGTTTTTTTCCAGAAGCAAGGCGGAGCGTCAGGGTTCATGCAAGAGACTGGATGGCAAACTGTAAATATGAGTGGCTGTCAGATCACAGAGGGCTTTTAGAGACCTAGGAGGGGCACGCCTGGGGTGGCTCAAGTTGAGCTCCAGACTCTTAATTTCAGCCCAGGGCTCTGTGATCTAGGACCGCACCAGACTCTGTACTGAGCGTGAGGCCTGCTTAAGATTCTCTCTCCTTCTACCCCTCTCCCTGGCTCACACTCTCTCTCCAAAATAAAAAAAGAGAGACACAGGAGTCTGAGCTTTTTCTTATAGTGGAGAACACTAAAGGGTTTTGTGCATGAATTTATCAGCGCAATCAAATGTGTTCTGGAATGAATAGTGAGAGACCTCAAAGGCCAAAGGCTGGAGACCGGAAAATGGGCTTTGAGTCTACTGCAATCATCTAGCGGAGGAGTAAGAAGAACCTGACCCAGGGTGGCAGAAAAGGATACAAAAGCTATCACAATGAATTAAGATCTGGTGATTTTTCCAAACACAGAGAATGGAATAGAGGAGGAAGTAGGTGGGGAAATAAAACTACTTATTTTGAAGTAATTGCCTAAAAAAAACCTGCTAGCCATTGAGAGAAAATTTTAAGATCAAGGAATCGTAAGGTCAGGTTAATCCCAGGAAAAGGGAGAGTTAAGTTTTGGACTTAAGGTAAGGGTAATTGAGACAGATAGAAATAATACAATAGTCAGTTAAGTATAATTAATGAAACTCTGGAGAAGATGAGGCATTAATACAGTAAGCTGTGGGGGGTGCATGGGTGGTTCAGTTGGGTAAGTGTCTGACTCTTGATTCTGGCTCAGGTCATGGTCTCAAAGTCATGACATGGAGCTTCATGTTGGGCTCTGCACTGACCATGGAGCCTGCTTAAGACGGACTCTCTCTCTCTCTAAAATTTAAAAACAAAAAAAAAATTAAAAACAAAATGGTGGCTGTGAATTATCTACAAAGTGACATGTGTTAAAGTTGAATAAGGTTATCTGAGTGGGGACTAAAAAAATATAAAGAAAAATACATTCAGAATCTCAATGACCAACCTGAGGTAAAGTTCAATTAGGAAAAAAAAAGAAAAAGGAATAACAGAAGGTTGAGAAAAATTCATCAGAGAAATAAGCAGTCCAGTACCATGCTACTTAGGATAAGAGAGGTGGGGTGTCAAACACTGAAGAATAACAAACGCCACAAAGTCACTGGTGACTACCTAATTGCTTTCGTGGTATAACTCAGAATGAGAAGTAAGGACAGCAGCTAAACTTCAGGCAGTGGAAGAGAGGAAGAGTGGCACAAACAAAATCAGTGTGGTTGATGACATCCTCCCAAAAATACAAGATGACAATAAATAAACCTGGGTACTGGAGAACAAACAGGAAGTTTTCTCGGAAAATATCAAAGACATGCAAAAAACTCTTTTAAAACACCTATATATATATATATATATATATGTTTATATATTGTGAGAAAGAGAGGGAGAGAGAGAGAATTCTAAGCAGGCTCTGCACCAACAGCCCCAACATGGGGCTCAATGATCCATGAGATCACAGCCTGAGTCCAAGTCAAGAATGGGCTGCTCAATTAAAGTCAAGAATGGGAAGCCAAGAATGGGATGCACCCAGGCACCCCTAAAAAACACCTAGAACTACTGGCTTCACCTGTCTGACACGAGAGAATGGGAGATAACCAAAGAAACCTGAAAAAGAACTGTTAAGAGCGGAGTAAAAATGGAAGATGGGGGATCAGGTGGTTTTTAGGTCTATTCGAGTAGAAGGCAGTAATTTTGGAAAAGAGAGGGCAAGAGAACAGCAGACTTACAGATGACATTGAGACTAGCTATTCATTTCTTTTTTTTTTTTTAATTTTTTTTTTTTTAATGTTTTCTTTATTTCTAGGAGAGAGAGAGAGAGACAGAGACAGTGTGAGCAGGGGAGGGTCAGAGAGAGAAGGAGTCACAGACTCTGAAACAGGCTCCAGGCTCTGAGCTGGCAGTCAGCACAGAGCCCGACGCGGGGCTCGAACCCACGAACCGCGAGATCATGACCTAAGCGAAAGTCGGACACTTAACCGACTAAGCCACCCAGGCGCCCCCTAGCTATTCATTTCTACATCACGGTTTATAACACCAGAATTATGGACATCTGTGAAGGAGCAGAGCTTGCTGAAGACCAAAGATAGAAGCCTAGCCAACCTGATCATGAAAATTTTATTTTTTTTAAGTTTGTTTATTTATTTTGAGAGGGAAAAGGAGAGAAAGAGAGAGAGCATGAGCACTGGAGCAGGGGAGAAGCAGAGAGAGAGGTGGGAGAAGGACGGAGGGATGGAGGAAGCTCCAGAGAGAGAATCTCAAGCAGTCTCGGGCTATCAGTGTGGAGCCAGATGGGAGCTCAATTTCACAAACAGTGAGATCATGACCAGAACTGAAACCAAGAGTTGGAAGCTTAACCAACTGAGCTACCAAGGCACCACGTGAAAACTGTAAACATTTTTAAGAAAGAGCAAATACTGAATTACAAATTATATATGAAATATGGAAAAGTACCACAGTGGAAGAGGTGCTGAGTAATTCTCAGTCTCTCATTTGGGGTCTAAAATGAACTGTAAATGTTACTAAGAAGTACAGAGGTTCTTTTGATTTCTGAGGTTCTACTGATTCTTGCTGGGATGTAACTGGTAATTTATTTATTTATTTATTTTTTTTTAAATGTTTTATTTATTTCTAGGAGAGAGAGAGAGAGACAGCGTGAGCAGGGGAGGGTCAGAGAGAGAGGGAGTCACAGACTGAAACAGGCTCCAGGCTCTGAGCTGGCAGTCAGCACAGGGCCCGACGCGGGGCTCGAACCCACGAACCGCGAGATCATGACCTAAGCGAAAGTCGGACGCTTAACCGACTAAGCCACCCAGGCGCCCCTGTAACTGGTAATTTAAACTACAAAGGAAAGATGTATGTAACCCGAAAGGAAACATTTCTAATAGTAAATTTCTAGTGGTAAAGATTGATAATAGTGTTATACATAAAGATATACTAAAACTGACAAACCTGAAGGAATCCAACTGAAGAACACTTTGGAAAAGATCAAATTATTATTATGGAAATATAGGACAGTCTACCTACTCCAGAGGAAAGCTATGTACGGAAGAAGAAAAAAAAAATAGGAGTGTTTTCAACTTGTGGATTATGAAAGCAGCCCAGACAGAGGATTTTAAAGATGCGTAGCTTTAATCACAAACATGTATTAGACTATTCTTTCTGCTTAAAATTACTTCTACTTAACTCTACTTCTTATTATCTGTTTTAGGAAGAATATATTTTCTCAGAAGACCAAGGATGCTAAAAAAGGGAATGAGCCAGTGATGAGAAAGTAACAGTAGCCTTAAAAAGACTGTGTTGTCTTTAAGGCTGTAACATTATTGGAAGATTTAAGTCTCCTGGTCTTCTGGAAAATCAATACTAACCTACTTAGTTAAAGATAAATAGTAACCTCGCGACTACAGAATTTAAAGAACAGTACGTTATCTATACAATCACAAACTTAATGAAGAAAAAAAAAAAGGAAGACAGCTACAAAAATGCACATTTACTTCCTGATCAAGATGATGACCATACAGAGACTATTACACGTGTAATTTCTAGGCAGGTTTAAAAATCAGACTAGATGACTGCTAAGGTCATTACGTTTACAAAAGATTCTATTTTAGGATTATAAATATCAGTCTGAAAATCCACAACTAAGGCACAGAACTCTAATACTGGATAATCAGTTTATAAATAATGGCCATTAAAAAAGGACAGCTAATAAACCTAGGTATTTACTGAATCTATAACCCTGAATTTCTAACACCATCTAATAAGCCAATAGATGCAAAACAAAAAACACTGACTATCACAATCATTTGGGAAGGCTTTAAATATAAAAATTCTGAAACTCTGAATCAGAGTTTGACTCCCTGAATCAGAATTTCTAGGTTTGAAATCCAAGAACCTCTATTTGTCGAAGCACTTGAGGATTCTGATGATCAACCAAATTTTAGAATCACTGTTTGCAAATATGCTAAGCTTTCTAAGAAAATCAAGGTCTGAAATTGCATGAAAAATCCACAGCTTAACCTGAAACAACTGCAGGCAGAGCAAAGATAATTAGCATTGGGCTTTAGCTTCTGGAATCATCAGGTGTGTTACATTAAGAAATGTGAAGTTTTGGGGCGCCTGGGTGGCTCAGTCGGTTAAGCATCGACTTCGGCTCAGGTCATGATTTCACAGTTTGTGGGCTCGAGCCCTGCGTCGGGCTCTGTACTGGCAGCTCAGAGCCCAGAGCCTGCTTCAGATTCTGTGTCTCCCTCTCTCCCTGACCCTCCCCTGCTCATGTTGTCTCTCTCTCTCTCTCTCTCTCAAAAATAAATAAAACGTGGAAAAAAAAAAGAAATGTGAAGTTTTGGGGCACCTGGGTGGCTGTCGGTGAAGTCCAACTCTTGATTTCAGCGCAGGTCATGATCTCACACAATTTGTGAGATGGAGCCCTGCACTGGGCTTTGCACGGACAGGGTGGGGCCTGCTTGGGATTCTCTCTCCCTACCCCCCCTCAAAGTAAATAAACATTAAAAAAAATGTTAAGTTTCTACACCTTCATGTTTGTTAACCTTATAAAGTCAACATTAAACCTGTCCTGTCTATAGCTGACACTAAAGAACAAAAAAATTAACTTTCACAGCTGATCTCCACTTATAGCTACTAGTATTTGTGGTAGGATTATACTGATCCACATTTAACTCATCTTTATTCACCTTGTCCCTTTCAAATATTAAGTAAAAATTCAACCTAAAGACAGAACTCAAATAAAAGAATTTCTACGCCTCTGCTTCTGTTCTTCCCATGAAACACACAATAAAGAGAAACCTACTTAAAAGGTTAAAAGTTGTGGAAGACCATAAAAATGAAAAGTTAAGCTTTATTTATTTGCTATTACAAATAAATCAGCTTCTAAATTCTGATGCATAGAAAACAGTATTAATTACTAAATATTTAAATCTGGGAGGAGTCTGATAAGGCTAAAAGGATATCATAAATGATAATAATAAAGCCAAGAGAAAAAGAAACACATTTCTGCAAAGGAAATAAAGTCCGTAACACATCTAAATAGTAACATTTATCCTCTGAAAGTTATTTGGCCTACTACAACTCTTACATCTATCAATAACTATTCTTTTCTAAATGTAGTGTTTTAAAATCTCAACAAGTAAAAATCATTCATCTTTCTTCCTCTTTTAATGGTAAAACAGCATGCTGAATCTCTTTGCCTCCCCACAATGGAAACTTTACCTGAGTTAATTTCAACAAATTTCTTGCATTTAAACCTCTGTAAAAACTTCTTTTTCCTGTCCTTTACTTAAAGGTGCGAGGAGGTGATCTGGCAAAGCACTATACCATTGGAATATAAAATTTAGGCAAAACATTAAGATGTCTATTTTTTTTTAATTAAACGTTTAAAAGAATTCCTTACTAAAACATTAAAATATGCTAACATTCTGCATTTGAAATTACAAGCCAAGCAAGATTTAATTACTTACCTAAAATAAGAGCTACATGTTGCAAGAACCATCTTATGACAAGGGAATTCAGTGCCCTCAACAATTAACACTATGTCAGTAAACAATTGCTGTTCATAAAACAGTTTTAACTGTTCCAACAAGGACACAGCATATTCAGTATTGATCTGCCTCTCGTCTTGAGTGGACATGACTATATTCCATTAATATCTCCCGGAACAGATTGGAAAAGTCAGTCTTAACTGATGGAAGGTCAAGTGAATGCTTCAGAAATAAAGAAAGGAGAAACTCTGCTTGCTGTTATCTGTAGCATTCAGAATCAAGACTGACACATTCACTAATGAACAGTTTCTTGTTATAGGCTTAGAATCACTCCTAGGTCATCCTGTGTTAATTAGGTTCTTCAGTTTTCCAACAGTCTGCAGACATCTTGCTCAAATCTGCAATTGTTGTGCAGCTCATGAGTTAAAGAGAATGACACACGAGGTAGATTTTGTGGTGACATCCTAGGTTTTGTGGATCCTCTGGAGAAACTAAAACGAAAAAAAAATTCAGTTAGAGTATGTAGGCCAGTACATTTTTAGGATATAAAGCTTAAAATAGAAGATTTAAAAAAATATATATAGCTTATTGTCATATTGTCAAGTCGGTTTCCACATAACACCCAGTGCTCATCCCAACAAGTCCCTCCTCCATGTCCATCACCCATTTCCCTCTCTCCCCCACCCCCCATCAACCCTCAGTTTGTTCTCAGTATTTAAAACTCTCTTGTGGTTTGCCTCCCTCCCTCTCCTTAACTATTTTCTCCCCCTTCCTTTCCTCTATGGTCCTCTGTTAAGTTTCTCCTGTTCCACATATGAGTGAAAACATATGGTATCTGTCTTTCTCTGCCTGACTTATTTCATTAACATAATACTCTCCAGTTCCATCCACGTTGCTACACATGGCCAGATTTCATTCTTTCTCATTGCCATGTAGTATTCCATTATATATATAAATCACATCTTCTTGATCCATTCGTCAGTTGATGGACATTTAGGATCTTTCCATGATTTGGCTATTGTTCAAAGTGCTGCTATGAACATTGGGGTACACGTGTCCCTATGCATCAGCACTCCTGTACCCCTTGGGTAAAGTCCTAGCAGTGCTAAAATAGCAGACTTAAATATAAATTATATTTATTCGAAGTTCAACTTCAGATATTACCATAAAAAATGAAACATGAGGAAAGGTATATTTATTGTTTTTTGACAGAGAGTGTATACACAAGCAGGGAGAGGGTCAGAGGGAAAGAGGGAAAGAAAAAGAAGAGAGAGGGGAAAAAACAGAGAGAGAGGGAGAGGGAGGGAGAGAGAGAGAGACTGAGAAAGAGAGAGAGAGAGAGAATCTGAATCTCAAGCAGGCTCCATGCGCAGCACGAAGCCCGACACAGGGTTCAATCCCATGACCCTGGGATCATAACCTGAGCTAAAATCAAGATTTGGATGCTCAAGTTACTCAGGGCCCCCTTGAGAAAAGGGACATTTAAAGTCTCTTACCTTTAAAATAAAAAACCCTGAAAAAAATAATATTTATAGTTTTAAATTAATTTTGTCTTCTCTACAAAATAAACATTCTAGAAAATAAGGAGCACATCGATAAGCAGATATTTTAACGTTATTTCAAAATAAAGAATTTAAATTACCTGCAAAGCCAAATCCACTAGTTATTTGTTTAGTGGCAATATATGAACATAATTTAAGAGAAAAAGGAAACAAAATAAAACCCTTTCTCTTGCACGGAGAATCTCATTTTGGGGATATATTCTAAATACACTTACAAATACTTTATATTTAATATAAATAAAACTATATGGTAAACAGATTCCATTTGTTAATTTCCAAACTATATATATAATATGTATTTCAAAGTTTATTTTGAGAGAGACAGAGACAGCACGAGTGGGGGAGAGGCGCAGAGAGAGAGAGAGAGAGAGAGAGAGAGAGAGAGAGAGGGAGAGACAGCATACCAAGCTGCCAACACAGAGCCTGACATGGGGCTCAAACCCACAAACCATGAGATCATGACCTGAGTCAAAACCAAGAGTTGGATGGGCCACCCAGGCATTCCGAAACTAAGTCTTTTGTAAATCTGTAGTTCAGTCCAGTAAGGGGAGCATATGCAATATATCTCTTTGCACAGTGGTGGTTCCTTCCTAGAAATCTTTTTAAGAGTATTACAATTTACGGGAGGAGAGGGGGAACAACCTTTTTTAAACCAACATGTGTTCCTACTTGGAAGACTCCATATTATACGAATATGAATGTTCTCCAAAATGTATAAATTTAATACAAATCCAATCTAAATCCTATTTGCAGAAGATTCATCTGGAAGAATGCACAGTAGTTGCCAAGATATTTGAGGGGAAGGGAAGAGAAGCTTTCCTCGTGACTCTTATCAAGTATTAAAATGTATTAAAAATCTACAATAAACCAAGTAAATGTAACAAATCAGGTATGTTAAACACTTGCCATTTTAAAATAGGAAAACTGGCTTAATTCAACAAATAGTGTTGGAACAACTGGCTAACCACTTGAGAGAGGGGGAAAAACCCTAGATTGTAGTCACATTACATAGCATTCATCAAAAGACATTCCAATTGAATTAAAGTTTAACTTTAAATTTTTATTTGGAAACCAGTAATTACAACATATGGCAAAGAAATTACAAATCAGGAAAAGTAGAGGTAAAACCCATACAAAATTACTAAATAGGTAAAAACTATCACTTCTTTTCTAATTAGATGACTCCTAGTACCCATAATCAGAAAATCAAGTAGTATTGACATGAAACCTATAAATAATACTGTGACTGCAACCACTAACACTTTTTCTCACAAAGTATCTCCCATATGTCAAAGAGAAGATCACATTGTACTTCCTGCCAAACTATACTATTACACAAACTGCTAACTTGATATACACTGTCACATTTCCAGCCAACTTAACTCTGAACGTAACTAAAACAGGTGCAAAGGCAGAGAGAGACTTTGGGTCATTTAAGGTAATGACTTTGCTCTTCCAGATTTGAAAGTTACACTTTATATCTAAGTTCTACTACTATAACCTCTAAGGCTAATAATACCTAAAATCACTGGCTACTTTCACATAGCAATAATGCAAGACCCAGTGAGGCTGTGGAGAAAATGAGCATTCTTACACAGAAGTGTAGGTCAATTCATACCCACAAGCCCTTAAACAAAACTCTTAGGGCTAGAGAGGCACATGGGTGGGTCAGTCAGTTAAGCGTCTGACATCGGCTTAGGTCATGATCTCGCGGTTTGTGGGTTTGAGCCCTGCCTCAGGCCCTGTGCTGATAGCTAGGAGCCTGGAACCGGCTGAGGTTTCTGTGTCTCCCTCTCTCTCTGCCCCTCCAACTGTTCGTGCTCTCTTAAGGCTAGATATGTTCTGGAATTTAGGATTTTTCAGATTTTATAGAGATAATGTGGTACATGTATCATGTATTACAAGACTCTCTCAAGGAGTCTGGCACAACACTCCATAATTGAACATAACTACTATCTTTAATGTGGGAAATATGAACAGTGTGAAAATAATACTATAAATAGCCTCATGTTACTTCACGTTGAGTTTTGCTAGTTTTTCTTAAAAGCTGATTTTAAGAGCTTTCTGAATTTTAGAGCTGCAAGTGAACTATTACAGAAAGTATAGTATATTTGGCATTGTAAATACTGAATATCTCAATCAATTCTACCTCTAGAAATTTATCTTACAGAAATGCATGCACTGATAAACTGAAAGGCCTAACCCTAGAAGCAAGATCCAAAATCAACCTCATCCATATTTAAATCAGGTGACAGGAACTGGCAGTCTGGGCCAGGATGGATTTGGATCACACTGCTAGACCCCAGAATTCCTTGAAGGCTAGCTGTACAGACTTACCCTGGTCATTTCTTTAACTTCATATTACGACTTAATTTTTTGTAGTGACCTGATTTCTTGCAAGGACTTTTGTAAGGCCCTATTTAATTTATGTCTTTTACTAAATTTATTTTTTTTTAAATCATATGCACGACACCATAGTAAAACAACTGAAGATGCTTTTAGAAAATTACACTGTGAGCCAACTTTATGTAATCCTCACTATGGCTGCATTATGCACCCTATTCCCCACCCCTTACTTTGTAATCTAGAATACATTTTCTTCCTGATAAGGTAATTTTTATTTAGGATATCTGTGGGCTCTGTGCTGGCAGCATGGAGCCTGCTCGGGATTTTCTCTCTCCCTCTCTCTGCTCCTCACCTGTTTGCTTGGGCAATCAATCAATCAATCAATCAATGTTTTAAGAAATAAAATAGGGAGAAAAAGTCATTCAGATATATTAAATAAATAAGTTTAATAATTTAAACATCTGTATCTAGTACAATTCAAAGTAAAACTCTGAGAACACAGACTTTAACTATGTAAACTAAAAATGTGAAAAGATGATCAAACAGCCTTCAAATGCCCGTAACATGAATATTTACAGAATCCTTTTCTCCTAGAAACAAAACTTGAAATCAATATCCTAAAAATATTTCACAAAGCCTGTACTGTATTAATTTCACCAGTGATCGAACATATTTTATGAATTTTCTTTTTAATAAATACACTGTGTCACATATCATCCTATGTTATACCTAATATTAGCTTCAAAAGAAGTCACACATCTTGTTATCTTGTAGAAGTTAGCAGTTAGTTACCCACAGACTGAGTAATTCCCAGGTATCAAGGGAATTATTTAATTTTGTATCACAATGGCTACTTAAATTTAACTCAACAAATGTTTACTGAGTATTTAGTTTTTTTTTTTTTTTATTTTTTTATTTTTTTTTTATTTTTATTTCTGAGAGAGANCGAAAACAAAAGCTTTATTGAGATATAATTCACATATTGGACAATTCTCCATTTTCAAGTACACACTTCAGTGGTTTTTTTTTTTAAAAGTTTTATTTTTATTTCTAAGAGAGAGAGAGAGAGAGAGAGAGAGACAGCGTGAGCAGGGGAGGGTCAGAGAGAGAGGGAGTCACAGACCGAAACAGGCTCTAGGCTCTGAGCTGGCAGTCAGCACAGAGCCCGACGCGGGGCCCGAACCCACGAACCGCGAGATCATGACCTAAGCGAAAGTCAGTTGCTTAACCGACTAAGCCACCCAGGCGCCCCTGTTTACTGAGTATTTATTAAGTGCTGGTCATTGTACTAGAAGTACTCAGACTGAGAGCTGCCAACCACTAGAGCTCCAAAATACCATTATGCATTTATTCTTACTATAGACTACAGCCAAAGCCATAATTATCATTCACAAGGGGTTGTTTTAAAAAAGTTATTCTAGACAAATACTAACAAGGTGGCAAATGGGTGAAACAAGTTGGGTATAAGAAACATTTTTCTCAAAATCCAGCTGTCCTGATCTTTCACTTCAAAACTTCTGATAATACAAGAAATTTTATTTTTTTTTAAAAATGTTTTTATTTATTTCTGAGAGAGACAGCGT